CTGTCTGGCTGAGGAGGGGACACTTAATGCAGTCCCTGATGAATTATATATGCAAGTATATTAATTATATATTCAAGTTTCATTAACCATAAAAGAAGGCATGTGCCTAATTTATGGTGCACAAAATTAAAACAATAGACCATTGTAAGCGATGCATGCAAAGTTATATCCCAGCTCATCTCCGCTAGAAAATGTAATATGTGGAACAATCCTGCATTGCCAAAGAGATGGGACTAAACGAATTGATAGTCCTTTCCCTCTCTGACTTTTACGATAACAGCTTTTCTAACTCACGACTTGAAACTCATTGAGCTCTCTAGGGCCTTTCACCCGACCTGCAGCTAACAGCTGGGACATGCAGCTGACTCTCTTGTCGAGCTATTTAGCAGAGCGGCGAGCGAGTACAGCGTTCCCTCTGAATGCCGGCAGGAAGCTGGAGTCAGCACTTCACTGAAGAGCCACTGAAAGGCAGATCTCCATCTATTCTTTACACACTCTCCGGCGTCTTCATAAAAACACAAGGCCACACTCAGACCTTTACCCTCCGAGTTGTAAAGACTTCATGTGCTTTTTCATAACTAGCCCCCCTGCAATTTCCCTCCATTAAACTCTTAGAGACGAGTGACCCCCGAGCCAAAGGGGACAGACTAATGAAAGGTCTGAAGGAATGTGGCACACTTGTTACCAAGGACATAAAAGAAATACATGACTGCATTACCGCCACCGTTTTACAGTGCAGCAAATGGGAACCTCTCCAAGCACCAAGACGTAGCTGCATTACAGTTAATGCATTTCGGCACAGACCAGGAGAAGCCCTGGCGCTGAGATGTGACCACATTAGTGCTCATGCATGCCAACACAATAAATGAGCTATTGCAATCCAGAGACGCGCCTGCATTACTACCTCCATATTATACTCTGCAATGGGAAGCTCCAAGGGCAAAGACCCCAGCTGCTGTACGGTTACTATATTACAATAAAATGCCCAGGAGTCTCCAATGCCTGGTTGTATATTCCAGGTCAGGATTGGGGATTTACAGCCCTGACAGACAAGTTCAGTATCTCCCCTCTCGGACTATCATTCTGAGGCTATGTCTAGACGTAGAGATAGAGGGTTAATTCCCAATTTAGCGCAGACATCCGCACGCTAGTTCTCACTGAGCTAGCATGCTAAAAAGAGTAGTGTACCATGGTAGCACAGGCTGGCTACCCCAACTCGTACCTATGGGGTCTGCATGGGCTTTTACTAGCCTGTACCGCCACTCACCACTGCCCGTGCTACATTACTCTTTTTAGTGTGCTAGCTCTGAGTGCCAGCACAAGTACGTTTTCACGAGTTGGGAATCACGCCCCCCTAGCTCCAAGTGTAGGCATGCCCCGAGTGTGTGTCAGTCCACAAGGACAAAGTGAAGGAACTGGGAAAATAGATTTGATTATTTCCCCAACAGCTAAGCTTTCAAAGCAGCTTTCTTATTACAAGAGAGCACTTGAGAACCTCCAGTGCTGAGACAGGATAGCATCAAACCTCCTTAACAGCGGCTGTAACTACATCACCTATTCTCAGCATTGCAGTGAACCTCCAGCACTGGAACGGGATTGCACTGCATCCGTCACTGCATTAGAGAACCTGTAACACACCAAGCTACGCGTGCATCACCTTGGCTGTCATCCATCATGGGATACCCGGGCCCCGGAGCTGACAGCCTGATCCCTGTTTGAGCAGTGTTTAAGTTCTAATGCAGAGATAATCGATCATTTTTTCGGTTTCCACTGTATCTGTGAAAACTTCCATAATTCAACATCAAATATTTATTATTACGTTTATTAAAGTTTTAATAATTTAGCACCTCCTGCATGTCAGAGTCAAGCTCGGTGAACTATTCTCCCTTTATTTTACCTGGGTCACTCCAATATTTATATCCACAATTCTAGATTCAAGTTTCATTTACCAGGGAGCAAGTGACATTCTCGGCACCTGAAGCTTCCCCCCACCCCCACCGCCACCCCCTTCTGTTGCTCTTTCACCCCCTCAGCAGTGGCAAGTAATCCCAGGAATCTCCCATAGGGATCAGTGTTTGAAGAGATTTACTGCAGCCAAGAGAAAACCGAGCTTAATAGACTGCTTTTATTAAAATAGCTTGGACTAAAATTGGAGGTGGCGAGAGACAATATTCTCCGGGCTAGATGGGCTGGGAGATATTTAAAAATGCACAAGCACGTTAAATCTTCCCCAGCACCACAAAGTGCTTGATACAAAGTGAGCAACTCACAACAGCCCTGCAAGGCTGGGCTATATTATTTTGTAGGAAAAGTGAGCCCAGCAACTAAAGCATAAAATGGGGAGTGAGGAGTTCGTGGGCTGGCACCCTGGCTCTGCCACAGACTTCTTGCATGACCTTGGGCATGACACGAACCTCCAGGCGCGTGCATTGCCCAGTCTGTGAAGTGGGGTGAATGCCTACCTACCTCAAAGAAAGCTTTGGGGTGGACTAATACTTGTGTCTAAAGCAATTTGAGCTCCACAGATAGAAGGCACAGTAGAAACATCAAGTATATTGTTTTGCATTGGGGGTGGGGCGGGGAGGAGGCCACACAAGAAGTCGGGGCAGAATATTCTCAGGAAGGGTTAGTTCCCGTAACAGCTGACAGTGTAATGAGAAAGCCAGCATAGGAGGGGCAGGGGGAAGTGGGGGACATAATTTGACTTGACATTTTTACATGAATGAACAGCAGCTCTCCCTGACACACAGCTAGCAATGGCTACATCACGGGCAGATGCCTTGTAGGTGTCATGGTCAAAGTAGATCTTCAGGAGGGATTTGAAGGGGAGGCTGGTCTCTTTACAGTCAAGGTAAGGGAGGGTGTTCTATATGCAGACTCATAGACGGGGCGGCTCTATGTTTTTTGCTGCCCCAAGCACGGCAGTCAAGCGGCCTTCGGCGGTATCCGCCGCTGAATTGCCGCCAAAGCCGCTGGACCGGCGGACCTCCCGCAGGCATGCCGCTGAAAGCTGCCTGACTGCCGCCCTCATGGCGACTGGCACGCTGCCCCCCGCGGCTTGCCGCCCCAGGCACGTGCTTGCTGCGCTGGTGCCTGGAGCCGCCCCTGCTCATAGACTTTAAGGCCAGAGGGGACCATCACGATCATGTAGTCTGACCTCCTGCATATCGCAGGCCACAGAACCTCACCCACCCACTCCTGTAATAGACCCCCTAACCTCTGGCAGAGTTACTGAAGTCATGGTTTAAAGACGTCAAGTTACAGAGAATCCACCATTTACACTAGTTTAAACCAGCAAGTGACCCGTGCCCCATGCTGCAGAGGAAGGCAAAAAAAAAAACACCCCAAAACCCAGGGTCTCTGCCAACCTGACCTGGTTATGGTGATCAGTTAGACCCTGAGCATGTGGGCGAGACCCACCAGCCAAATACCTGGGAAGCAAAGGGAAAGAAGGAGCGAAGGAGACTATTGGAGAAATGGGCTAGTTGGCAGAGAGGAAAGTGCAGGAGCATTGTGATAAAATCATGGAACCCAGGAGTACTGACTCCCAGTTGGTTGCTCAGCACACTAGACAACACTGCTCTCCTAAGGTTGGGTTTGTGCCTAGCTTGTGGGTGAAGGAAAAGAGGACGCACACCTGACCATCCCCCTTGTTGAGTGAGTGGATGGATGGATGGATGTCTTAATGTTCGAAGATAGAGTTGCAAGACCGAGGAGGATACATGGGGTAAAGAAGTGAGGTCTCACATTCATGAGGAAAGTCTTTCCAGAACAAAAGAGCCTGAGGTCTCAGTAGAACCAGACTGGCTTATTCTCAATCGTGGATTGATTTGGGAGACTCATGGTGGTTGGGGGTAGGGGTATAAGAAGGGGAGCTCACACTTCCATATCTAGGAGGGCAGCATAGCTAAACCCCCATGTACGAGAAGTGCCCTGCGCCCAGGTTAACCTCGTTCAGCTGACAGCCATCACAGCTCCATCGGGGCAGTCTCTGAGGCCCTGTCCGGGGAACAGAGTGAGCCACGCCAGGGAAGCCAAACAAAACCCACCAAGTTTACAGAGAAGCATAGGAGAAAAATGCATAAAAACAAGATAAGGCAAGGTGGGCTCTGTTCACGAGGGACCAGTTTTGACCCCTCCTGGGCACCACAGTCAAGTGCTGGAGGCTGCATGCATGCCTGAGCTTGAGTACATGTCTGCCAACCCTCCATCTCCGCCTGGAGCCATTGCCTAATGCTTTAATACCCAGGAGAACTGCTGACATTTCTATGAGCATTTCTGAAAGATGAATAATCCATTTGCCAAGTCAAGCAAGCAATCTCTCCCCTCCACACCCCGCCTTGCAAAGACCATTCCCCACTTGTGCTTGTCACAGTCATATAAGAGCATGTGATTCTCGCTAGCCACTTGAGCTCCTGACATCCCTGACCCCTTATTCTCATTTAGCTTGCACTGGTGAATGCTTTGATGTAAGATATGCCAGAATAAGCCAGGTTTCAATTGGTTTAAGAGAATCCATCCAGCATTTGCACCAGTTTAGCTGCATGGATTAAAAACACACCTTTAGTTAAAATCTGAGCAATTGTGTGTGTAGGCCAGCCCTAAGCTCAGAAGAACTAAACAACCTTGTATAGCGTCCTTGTAGGCCTCTTCTCACCATGCATATCACCTACAATGAAGGTGGCTCTCTACTGACTCAAGCATGTACAGAGATTTTTGAGGAGACACGGGCACGGAAAACACATTCTCCCTCAAGAAACTGACTCGTGTGCAGGATTGCCAATCGCAGGGTGAACACCCAAGAGCAACACAGGTTCATTACCAATCCCCACCCACGCACCATGTTGGGAAAAATCCTTTTTGAAGTATTCAAAGCCGCACTCAGCCCAAGAGAAAGTCCCGTCTGGAGATAGGAAGATATCTCACCAGAGGGGTACTGCATCTCAGCTTCTTACAAGGAGCTTTGAGAGTCATCTCCGCAAGACAGTTTGGTCCCCTACCTGACGTCTGCCGGGTCTTCTGTCACCAGGACGTCTGTCTTGCAGCTGGCAAGAGGATTGATGGAAAGCTCCACAGGTGGCACCACAAAGCTCTTACTGACGGGTAGCCAGAGGCCCTGACCCAAACTATAAGTGGACCTGAGAGAGGGGCAAGAATGTAGCGTAAGCACATGAAATACAGGGCAAGCGCTTGGTCCCTCTTCCATGTTTGAACATTCGGAGGCTGGTTTGATGGTATAGTGGGGTGGATTATGGAGCCTGTTTGGTATCTTGCTCCAGAAAGCCGACACTGGGGAACAGAGCCAGAACAGGTGAGAGCAGGGAGAGGGACAGAAGGGCAGCCTGAGCACCAGTGGGCGAACCGGCCCCTCTGAATCTGGAGGACAGAGTGGATCACTGGGAAGCTCACACTTCCCTCGGTTGCTTCCTGATCCAGGTGCATGCCACAGGGGATGGTGACTGGAGGGTGAAACCCTTCCCCCTCCTTAAGGAGGTGAGCAGGTCTTCCAAACTCATTGACTACAAACGGAGCCAGTGCAGCACAGGCAGAACAACAAGATGGCAGCAGGAGGTAGTGACTGCAAAGCCTGCTGGAGCGGTCCCCAAACAGACCCGATGTGTCCTGGCAGCCAGGTGTTCCTCCTCCCAACAGACTGACTGACTAGTCATTCAGCTTACCTGAGTATCTTCTCTGGCGCTTGTTCTCCTGTGACCAAGTCATAGCCCCTTTCGAGTGTTGTGTAGGGCCAAGGCCTGAGAGACAGAGAGGGAAAGAGAGCACAGCATGTCAACCAGCAAGGAAAGGTAAACCCAGGGACGCCAACGGGTGGGTCTAGAGCCAATTAGACACATCAGGAATTGGTAGACAAGAAAGGGGATCTGGGAGAAAGGTAACGCTCTGTTCTCCCCATCCTGACATTAATGGCTCATAGCACCCGTCACAGGGTGCCTGACCCTCTGACAGGGCCAGACTAGCTGTGACAGACTCTGCTAAAGAGAACGAACCGAGCCAGATCCACCCGTGAATCGTTAATTACATAGGCGGCCAGGCAGCAGTTAATTAGCTAAGGAACACCTGGGCTTAATAAAGAGTTCGGAGGGTTCAGTCAGAAAGTTCCAGAAGCTCTGGAGGAAAGGGACTTCTCAGGGGGACTCTCCAGGAAAGGGGACTGAGGAAAGGGACTCCTGGAGGGAATGTGTTTCAAAAGGCAGGTGCCATCCGTGACAAGTCCCTCCGGAGAGCTGGTCCCAGTGAAAGGACCTTACCAGACAGCAGCAGGCAATCCAGATCCAGAGAAGAGTTGCAGTGGCTCAACCTCTGTGGGCCCCCTGAGCCCAGAGAAGGAACCTTTCCCCAGCTGATGGCAAGAGGCCCAACTCCAGAAGAGGGCCTCGATTTGAGAAGGCCTCACGGGTAAGGAGCCCGGACGGAGAAGGCAAACGGACTCGGTTCGGGCAGACATTTGCCGCTCCCCCAGCTAGGACGCTGGGCAGAAGGCTTGCTTGCCTGCCACATTGGGCCTTTAGTTAAATGAATTAGATTGTTCTAATTCACTACGTAAAAACCTCACTGAACTCACTAAAAGGCATTGGGGAAATTGAGGCAGAGATGTCACCGTTGGACCATCGGGCAGTGTGCGGGGTGACATGCCAGCCTGGACCCAAGGGGGCACTCTGGGGGTGAGTGCCCATCTTACCAGCACCACTCACCCTTCACTGTGCCCCCAGTCACTGCGCACGCACAGATGCCGATGCACTGGGTCAGGGGCGTAACCTTCATGACAGCTGCACTCACCTAAAAGGGAAAGGAGAGAGATTCAACCTCTGTCTGCAGAGAACACGTAGAGGAGTCACTGTATGAGGCTCTCCCACACCACCATTCCTTTCCCTGTTCATCCACCGCTGTCAGTTCTAGCGTTCCTTGCCCCATTCCTTCCATCCACGCCCCTCCCTGGAGCCGAGAGTCCTTTGGAATCTACCTAGATGCTAGGGTGATGAGCGTGGGAGAGAGAGACCCCCTGCAGTTTCTCTGATCTCGGCTAGCTCCCCCAAAGAGCGCCCTTCTGTCGGTTCCTGCTTTACCTGGAGCTGCAGCACAATGCAACTGAACACATAACAAAAGGGAGGGGGGGGACAGAACAGCTGTTGATGGGGGTTGATCCTGATCATTCTACAGAAGACACAGCTCACTCAATCAGCAGTGCCCGAGGCCCAATCCTGCAAGGCACTGAGCATCCTCAGCTGACGCTGAAATCACTGGGAACTGAGGGTGCTCAGCACCTTGCAAGCTCACATCTTGCATCTCCTTGCTACAGGCATGTTTGGGACAGCAGGGGTTTGCTGGCTTTCACCAGTGCAGCAGCCAGGCGCTCAAGGTGCGGCTCAAGCCCATGGAGCAGAGCGGAATGAAAAACTCCTCCCGACGGGTGAAGTCCCAGTCCCTTAAGCAGGCAACACCTCTCCCCCAAGGGAAGTCCCATCCTCTGTGACATTCTTGGCCCTGTCAGCCGGTTGCAACTAGATGCCAATTAGGGTCATGAATCTGTGCGTGAGGGGCTGTTCTGTGACCAATTCAGTTCACAATAAAGAACAGCATCCCACCCCACAGGTGGAAATGGCCTCTTGTCCCCTCCTGATCTGGGCTGGATTCACACCAGGACAAGGTGCCTCTTATCTCATCACCAGCCCCTCCGGGCAAGCAGCAATCCTGAACCATCTCCCCCCAATCTCCTGGGCCATGGCATGTTTCTACTGTAAACGCTTTTGAAGTCCTTCTCTCACCACAAGGCTTCAGGCCTGTCGTGGATGCACCAATGGAGCCAGCGGTCCTGGTTCTTGCCCCGTTTTCCACCTCCCACGAAGGGTACATGATGGTAGCAACAGTATTTTTTGATCCACTGCCCTATTCTGCCTCTCCCTTCTTCTTCTCTCTGCCTCCTTACCTCATCTCATTCTCCCCTCCTGGCAGCATTAGTGGAGGCGTCATGATTTTTCCACACCAGAGACCTAACTACACTTGGCCCAGATTGATTCTTTGTTTGGTAGAAATACATATCCCGGAGCGAGAGATGGCGGAATAAAAGATTAATTGGATTTGCACATATAGTCGCTGTTAAAAGCTTTTGTTGATTTTTTTCCCCTGATCCTGTCCCTTTCTTTTCCCCTTCAGCTCCTGTTTTCACTTGACAGAGCATCGGACTAAGTCTTAAACACAGGCAGAGTGTGTGGTGTGGTGTGGTGTGGGGGGTAGGTGGGTGGGGGGATTGTTCAAAGCAAACCCTTCCCTGGAGTTCTCTCTGCCCACACCCCGCTATGGCCAGAAGGAAGGAAAGGTGTTGTGGCAGGTTGGGGTGTGGATACCCCAGACAGAGTTAACACAGACTGACAAAATACCCATGCTTTCTTTGGGCCCTACGAAAGATGTCAAAATGTCTTAGGGGGATTGAAGTAAGCGCTTTATTTGCAGAGGGAAGGAAACGGGGGTTCAGCTCGAAGATTGTGAAGAGAACACTCTGCAAAGGAGGGCGGGGAGGAAGCAGACAGCTAATGATGTGCTAAAATGCAACAGCACCTTCATGAAATATTCACTGCTTTAAACACGTCTAATATTAAAGATTAAACATCCTGGGATTTGTCCTGGTGACTCTAGAGTACTGATTTATGATCTGCCAGAAGCTGCTAAACTCATGATTCATAAGGAGCAGTGGAAGCACTACCTCTCCAAAGGGAAAGGGACTTGGGGAAGAGGGCTGGCTCTATCGTCTCTGCAGGAGTTCAGACACCCAGGCTGAGCGTGCCTGCCCTGGGATGCGGTGGATGGCGTTTTCTTCTCGTATACCATCGATCGAAAAGCAGTTATTTTTTCCAAGAGTGCTTAGCATGCAAGTTTTCTCAGTTGCTTCGTGGATCATTAATTCCTGATGCTTATTACATAACAAATATGTGTTCTGCAAATGAGAGGCATCTCGAAGTGCTTGCAAAGCAGAGCTGTGGGGACGCAGGGATGTCGGCCCGTTCTCCATCTTCAGCCCCTGCCCCTGGAATTACTAGAGCTGTAGGCTGTAGTGCACCCACTGCGGAGTCCTCTATGGATCCATAGGGCTGGAATAGACCTGGATTCTAAGGGTTGGCACCAAGGCAGCTGAGGGGGGTGCCTTGGATTAAAGGGTTTATTAAAGGGTTTAGTTTGTCTTTCAGTTTGATAACTATTTGCAACAGCCTGCAGAAACACTGCGTTTATTGACTCAATTCCCACAATTCCAACAGCTGAAGGTTGTGCATGAGGGTTTCCCGGAAGGTTTATTTCAGTAAAGTAAAACAGCAAGCGACACCACCAGCTTCCCTTCCCATCCAGTTATTAAACTCATTTCAGAGCGCAGAGCTGAGAGAGACTCAGGGACGGGGAATCAGGCCTCCATGGTCTATCCATCTGGCTTGCTGCCAGGCCTGAGAAGCCATGTGTGTCCAGATTTTCAAAAGAGAGACGAGCACGCTGGGTGTTAAACTCTCAGTGTCACAACAGTAGGAGCTGCCAGCACTGAACTCTTGGCAATCAGGTCACTAACCTCTCCAGGGTGGAGTTCCAAAGGTAGTTAGGTGCCTGAAGATGCGGACAGGTACTTAGTGGGATTTGTAAGCGGGCCCAAGCCAGTTAGCGCCTAACTCCCATTGACTCACTAGCTGCATCTTTAGACACCAAAATACCTTTGAAGAACTGACGGTTTGCGACTCAGCTCCTCCATCTGTAAAGCTGAGATAACTCCTCCCTTACAGGTGTGTTGTGAGCAGAGCTGATCACAGGAGACTGGCGAAAATTTGCTTTAGATTCATTCCCCGTGGGGGCAGGGAGCGACCTGCACCTCAACTCTCCCTTCTGAGAGAAATGGTGTTCTTTGCTCTTCAGGTACAAACAAGCTGTTCAGAAAAACTCAGCTGGAGGTGCCAGATTTTGCATAATGAGAAGTCAAGATCATCAGTCAACTCAATAAAAAGAACAGGAGTACTTGTGGCACCTTAGAGACTAACAAATTTATTTGAGCATAAGCTTTCGTGGGCTACAGCCCACTTCATCGGATGCATAGAATGGAACAAACAGCAAGGAGATATATATACACATACAGAGAACATGAAAAGGTGGGAGTTGTCCTACCAACTCTAAGAGGCTAATTAATTAAGAGAAAAAACTTTTGTAGTGATAATCAAGATAGCCCATTACAGACGGTTTGACAAGAGGTGTGAGAATACTTAACATGGGGAAATAGATTCAATGTGTGTAATGGCTCAGCCATTCCCAGTCTCTATTCAAGCCTAAGTTGATGGTGTCTAATTTGCATATTAATTCAAGTTCAGCAGTTTCTCGTTGGAGTCTGTTTTTGAAGCTTTTCTGTTGCAAAATTGCCACCCTTAAGTCTGTTACTGAGTGGCCAGAGAGGTTGAAGTGTTCTCCTACTGGTTTTTGAATGTTATGATTCCTGATGTCTGATTTGTGTCCATTTATTCTTTTGCGTAGAGACTGTCCGGTTTGGCCAATGTACATAGCAGAGGGGCATTGCTGGCACATGATGGCATATATCACATTGGTAGATGTGCAGGTGAACGAGCCCCTGATGGTATGGCTGATGTGGTTAGGTCCTATGATGATGTCACTTGAATAGATACGTGGACAGAGTTGGCATCGGGCTTTGTTGCAGGGCTTGGTTCCTGGGTTAGTGTTTTTGTTCTGTGGTATGTGGTTGCTGGTGAGTATTTGCTTCAGGCTGAGGGGCTGTCTGTAAGCGAGGACAGGAACCGGACAGTCTCTACGCAAAAGAATAAATGGACACAAATCATAACATCAGGAATCATGTCGCACTCCTTTGTTCTCTCTTTCCTGCTACCCTGTGCTGATGCTGTGCTGATACTCAGCCCCAGCTATTTCTGAACGGCCACTTGTGGGTTTATATTAGTTGGGAAGGATCAGCCTTGTGTTCTACATGTTCTCTCCTCGTTCCCAGTTGGCAATGCACACCACAGCGCAGGAAAACCAGCAGCTAAGAGGCACAGGTCCGATGGGCTAAGTCAGGGGTCCCCAATGCGGTGCCCGCAGACGCTGCTTGTCGGCGGCGAGGCCTATTGACGTTGCCGCTTGTCGGCGGCATTTCGGCAGATGCCACTGGGTTAAGTTCTCAGAGTCCCTAATCTCAGCCACGGGGGACTAACTGATGTCAGAGATTCCTTGGCCTGAGTAACGGAGATACAGAAAAAGAGGGCGGACCAGGAGACATGAGCAAGCCCGTGACTGGTTCACCAGTCCACCACACTGGAGCAACGCCTGCATGGGGCCAAGGTGGCAAAACACTATCCCAGGCTGATGGGCTTACAATCTAAACAGCCAAGAGGAACAAAGGGTAGGAGGGGAAACAGAGGCACCGAGAGATGCGACTTATCCATGGTCACATACCAGGTCAACGGCAAAGAGAGGAGTAGAACCCAGGTCTGATGTCCTCTCCCCTGGACCACACTGCCTCTCAAACTGGCTGGGCTGTCAACGGGGCCTAGATAAAGCCATGGGTGCATTCAGAATCCTTGAAACCCTTTTTTTCTGTGCACAGGCTGCAGCGCCTGTGCCCATTCCCCAACTTCAGAAAACCCTACCGCAGCGCGGGGCCATCTGGGTGTCAGTGACCAATTCTAGGTCACACTGAAGTCTCTCTGCTGACTTCGGCTTGAGGAGATGCCCCTTTGCCTCGGCCAGCCTGCCTGGGAAGACTGGAGAGACACACCGGTGAGTGCTTTTAATTTCCATGGAAGGTTGGC